CTATAAATAATCAATTTAGATTTCGAACACATAATTGTGATTGATGAGCGCAAGAGAGAGCGATTAAATTATTTTTTTTTGTGCTCATGCAGAACGCAAGAAAATGCCGAGATTGAAAGAGTTAATGTAAACACATATTATTTTCGATTTATTTTCTACATGATTGTGATTATAGAATGTATACATAGGGACGATACCAAGAAAAAACTAAATATCTCCGCTATGGCTCGAGCAAACGGACTGATTTTTTTACCAATACTAGAAGCATGTTCACACGTTAAATCCATACGGACAAGATTAGAGAGAGCGTTTATAAAGTACCACTAATGACCTCAACAAAATAATTTTACTTTTTTCACAGATAGAATAGAAAACAATATACTTAACAAAAGGTTTCTCTAGGCATGTCTTTATGGATATACAGCTTGAACCTGCCTCTATCGTTGATAAAAGAATCAGCTCGTTAACTCGAGCTGTAGCGAATATATTCAATTTTTTTCGGCAAAGTGACCTTTTTTCTAACTGTGAAAAAGTAAATTTTTCTTGTTGAGGTCAATAGTAATACTTAACAAAGGGTCTCCCTAGACATGTCTTTATGAATATAAGCTTGGTACATGCCTCTATCACTGATAAAAAAATCCACTCGTTTGCTCGAACCATAATGGAGATATTCAATTTTTTTTGGGTAAACTGACTTTTGCGCCACCCTGTATTTATCTTTTCTGCAACACCATAGCTTACTCACATTGATGAAAAAAGGCGGATAAAACATCAAAGAAATTAGAAAGTGAAAGAAATAAGGTGATGTCATTGGTGAGTGACGAATAATTTTTCGAAGAGAGAAAAAAAGAGAAAGAAGATAAGTGAAAAGAAGCCGTTTGTAACAACATATTTTCTTGTTTTAGGTACTATTTTTTTTGCTCAGTGATGTCGTATAAGCGAATGGTGAATGTAGCTCATTAATTAATCAATTGTATGATAATCTTTTCTCTGCTAGTGGTGTTCTCGATGTCAATGGCACATCAATATCTTCAGAAGAAATTTCTAATTATGTTTTACACAAAATTAAAAATAATGGAAACAAGGATCAGATGAATATCGAAAATGTTTACTTAATTCCTCATTCATCGAAACCTGTCAACGAATATTTCAATCCCAAATTATTAGCAGGTCTATATCCAACTTTATTTTGTTATGGATGTGGAGCACCTGAAGATCAATCGCGTCCAGTTGAAGTAAAATTAAAAGAACATATACGTTATCTATTATCTTACAACGATCGTCGTTTTGAAACAAACCACAGTTTTATATTTGTGGTCTTCAATCTATTGCAACGACGTGATGCCTGCTTTCATGCTCAACTGATAGCAACAAAACCTTACTTTCAAACATCTGCTGATGAAATTCAATCTTTGAATAGTAAAGACATTGAAATGGCTCTTGACAACAATTTCAAAAGAACATATAGTGCAGAATCAAATAGTACATTAAACAAACTTCTGCAACATATTAAAACTATTGGAGGCCGAGTTATGGGTTCAGCATATTCACGAACAGCTTTACGTACTCAAATTCATGCACTTATATATAATTAAGGACTGCCCAGCATTTTTCTTACGTTAAATCCCGCCGATATCCACAGTCCCGTAGCACTGTACTTTGCTGGTGTTAAACTTGACCTAGACAATATTCAAAATCAACACCTTATGGATCCTTACAAAAGAGCTGAAATTATAGCATCTCATCCAGTTACTACTGCCAAATTTTTTCATTTATTGATTACCAATATTTTAAATACTATGATTATTGGTGGTGTTCTTGGACCAATAAAGGGTTATTTTGGTACTGTTGAAAGTCAAGGACGAGGTTCACTACATTTGCATCTTCTTATTTGGCTTGACCATGCTTTGACACCAGCTGATATGAAAGAAAAAATTCAAGATGCCAATTTTCGTGAAAAGTTAAAAGCGTACTTAGAAGATATCATCAAAGAAGATTTAGATGACTTCAAGGACAAACATGTCTTTGAGAATTTTAACGGTATAGAATTTTTTTTATCCAAATATCGACTTCTATTTTTATGTTATAGTACCAGGATCATTCGATACTCCTCCACGAATATCACAAGACAATATTTATGCAGCATTACGAACTATCGATTTAACAGGCTGTGCAGAAAATGTATGTCCATCTCATGTTTGGGCAACGCCAAGAAAACAACAACTTTTTCCATCGATCCCATACAGTTCGCCGTCAATTCCTTATGCTTCTCCATCATGGCATCGATCATTGCAGACACCAACACATGGTCAATCAACATCTGGTAGGATATAGTGAATCATTAAAAAAGACAAAGCATTTGATTGTTATTTTAGATATGAATACTTTAAATAACAAATCAAAATTAATTCCAGCTTGCTTACCAACTCCAAATCCATCATCGCCTAATTTTACAGCACGCTTTCGTGCAGATGTGGTACAACTTGTGGAAACAGGCAACAAGCACAAGCATAGTGACACATGTTACAAGTATTCTAATCCTAAACAAGGTGACAAGAAGAGTTGTCGATTGGGTATGCCACGCAAATTAGTACCAGTTTCGACGATTGATCCGGACACCGGTCATATCTCTATGCGACGATCAGATCCATGGATCAATAATTTTAACGAATATCTTATAGCAGCTTGTCGTTCCAATATGGATATCAAATTTATCTGGAATGGTAGTGATGCAAAGGCTCTCGTTTATTATATTACTGATTATGTGACAAAAATGAGTCTCTCTTTTCATGATACACTTGCTCTTGTACAAAAAAGTGTTACATCAATCATGAATTCATCCCATCAAACAGACAAAGAAAATGCAATTGAAAAATCACGAAAACTCGTTTTACGTTGTTACAATACACTTGCTTCTCAACAAGAGCTGTCTGGAGTTCAAGTTGCTTCTTATCTCATGAGCTGGAATGATCATTACACAACACACAAGTTCCAGGGTCTTTATCTAATTCAAACTGAACGATTTTTACAAACTCAACTGGATGAAATGCATGCAAAACACAAAGTGGAACTTTCAGGACATGGTCAGTAGTTTATGTTTTTTTATTCCATAATTTAATAGTAATCATCTTTAAAAAGTTACCATAAGATATATCGAGAAGAGGAAGAGAGAAATGAGAGAAATTTATTTCTAAAAGTTAAATCA